CATGACACTTCTTCCTCGTGGCTTCCAAGAACCACGAAGACGGCCCAAGTGGCTTCCAAGACTTCCTACGGTCCACCCACGACAGTTTAAGACATGCCCAAAAAGCATTTCGGAGGCCCTTTTATTCGCCGCGGCTGGACGTAGCCGGAGGAAGAGGGAGGAGAAGGGGAGGTGCAGAGGTTCCCTGGGGGAGAAGGAGAAGGAAGAGGAGTTGGAAAGGGTGGAGGAGGCCGCAGAGGAGGAGGAACCGGAAGAGGAGGAAGAGGATGAGGAGGAGATATGACATTCCCTTTGTGCAAGCGTAGCGAAGCTGCCAGGCGAAGTTAAAAAAAATATCCTGGCGAAGGACCCAACCATATGCAGTTGTGACTACCGCAATTGTGAATATCTTCTTCGGTGGCGCTCCCTATGGGGAAACGAACCGTATGAAGGTGTGCCGAATTGTGCGGCGTAGCCTCTGCAGGGGGGCTTCCCTGGGAACCTCGACGGCAGCGCCCGCGCGCCGCGACGCCCATGTCGGCACGCCCCGCGCGAGAATCGCGCCCGCTTCCTCTCCTCATTTTTCCATGTCCTTTCCCCGCGCACTCCAACGTCCAAGGCTGCGGGCGCAGCGCCATGCGGAGCCCTCGCGACTCGCACAGGTCGCCCCGAGGGGGTCGCAGTGACGCGCGCGGTTCGTCCGCTGAGCGGAACAGAGATTGTTTGCTGGCTAACTCATAGCGCGCATGGCTCTGGCCGCCGGGCGGAGCGACGACGGGCGAGCGAGGCGCTGCACAGAGCGCAGCGCGGAGTTCGGGCGACGCGCGCTGATCGCCCCGAGAGGGTCCCAGCGACGCGCGCGGAGCGTCGGCGGCGCCAGGCCGAACAGCCGGACAGCCAAGAGAAGAAGCGGCTGGGGCGGGCCGCTCCTCAGGTCAGGCCTCGCGGATAAACTCAGTGAAGCCGAGGTCCTTGGCGAGGGCCGTGGCCTCCCTCCTGCACCGCTTCGTGCGCGCCGCAAACTGCCCAAGCTGTTTCCGCAAGCCCGCCGGCGGCCCGGCCAGGAAGAACTCGATGCGCGGCGCCCGCATGAGCAGGAGGTCCTCGTGTCGCGTGGCGCGCGAGAGCAGCACGTAGAGCTCCAGCCACCAGTCGTCGTCCTCCTTCTTGCCGTTCCCGACCTCGTGGCGGCCCTGTGGGCAACGGTGGAGCTCCTTGTGGGGCCACGAAACGTGTGAGGGGCGTGCCGAAATGGGTGTGCGGGACGCATGCGGGCGGCAGCACTGGGGCCTTCGGTGGGGCTCCCTATGGAGCCACGAAACGTGTGAGGGGTGTGCCGAAATGAGTGGCGGGGACGCATGCGGACTGCGCCACTGGGACCTTCGGCGGAGCTCCCTGTGTGGCCACGAAACGTGTGAGGGGTGTGCCGAAATGGGTGTGCGGGACGCATGCGGACGGCAGCACTGGGGCCTTCGGTGGAGCTCCCTGTGGAGCCACGAAACGTGTGAGGGGTGTACCGAAATGGGTGTGCGGGACGCATGCGGACGGCAGCCATGGAGCCTTCGGTGGAGCTCCCTATGGGGCCACGAAACGTGTGAGGGGTGTGCCGAAATCGGTGTGCGGGACGCATGCGGTCGGCAGCACTGGGGCCTTCGGTGGAGCTCCCTATGGGGCCACGAAACGTGTGAGGGGTGTGCCGAAATTGGGTGTGCGGGACGCATGCGGACGGCAGCCATGGGGGGGAGCTCTGGGGCCACGAAACACTCGCATCCACTGGGGCCTTCGGTGGGGCTCCCTATGGGGCCACGAAACGTGTGAGGGGTGTGCCGAATTGGGTGTGCGGGACGCATGCGGGCGGCAGCACTGGGGCCTTCGGTGGGCTCCCTATGGGGCCACGAAACGTGTGAGGGGTGTGCCGAATTGGGTGTGCGGGACGCATGCGGGCGGCAGCACTGGGGCCTTCGGTGGGGCTCCCTATGGGGCCACGAAACGTGTGAGGGGTGTGCCGAATTGGGTGTGCGGGACGCATGCGGGCGGCAGCACTGGGCCTTCGGTGGGGCTCCCTATGGGGCCACGAAACGTGTGAGGGGTGTGCCGAATTGTGTGTGCGGGACGCATGCGGGCGGCAACACGGGGCCTTCGGTGGGGCTCCCTATGGGGCCACGAAACGTGTGAGGGGTGTGCCGAATTGAGTGTGCGGGACGCATGCGGGCGGCAGCACTGGGGCCTTCGGGGGGCTCCCTATGGGGCCACGAAACGTGTGAGGGGTGTGCCGAATTGGGTGTGCGGGACGCATGCGGGCGGCAGCACTGGGGCCTTCGGTGGGGCTCCCTATGGGGCCACGAAGCGTGTGAGGGGTGTGCCGAATTGGGTGTGCGGGACGCATGCGGGCGGCAGCACTGGGGCCTTCGGTGGGGCTCCCTATGGGGCCACGAAACGTGTGAGGGGTGTGCCGAATTGGGCGTGCGGGACGCATGCGGGCGGCAGCACTGGGGCCTTCGGTGGGGCTCCCTACGGGGCCACGAAACGTGTGAGGGGTGTGCCGAAGTGGGTGATGACGATGACGATGACGACGATGACAATGACGATGACGATGATGATGATGATGATGATGATGATGATGATGATGATGATGATGATGATGATGATGATGATGATGATGATGATGATGATGAGGATGATAGGAGGGGAGAGGAGGCGGAGGAGGAGGAAGGAGGAAGGAAGGAGACGCGGGGCACCGTCTCTTCAAAACGAGGACCCAACACCACAGGATGGTTTGGGGGGAAGAAAAAAACAAAAAAACAAAAAAAAAAAAAAAAAAAAAAAAAATGTTGTAATTCCCGTTGTTCTCAAGTGGCCTCGGGGCCTCTCTCGGGGCTCTTTGGGGCCTCTTTGGGGCTTTTTGGGACCTCTCGAAGCCTCCTGAGGGTCTCCTGTGGCGAAGATCTCGGGTTCCTGGTTCACGTTCCCGATCCTGGGCCGCTGTTGGAGCCCTCTCGGGCCGTCTTGAACGTCTCTTCGGCGCTTTTGAAGCCTTTGGGGCCACCTCGGGACGCTTTTGAAGCCTTTTAGGCCGTCTTGGGGCGATCCTCGGAGCCTCTTGGGGCGTTTTGCAGCGTCGGGAAGCGGAACAGGCGGAAACGCCAAATTTGTTCAAAAACCAATGGAACCTGCATGTTTTTTGGCCTCTTCGAGCTCTGTTGGGAGACCTCTGGGAAGCCTCTTGGATATTTTGGGGGCCTCTTAGGCCGTCTGGAGGCCGTCTTGTTCGTCTTGGACCATCTAGTGGCCTTCGGCCCATCCCGCCACCGTGCCTGGGTTGTGGGTTAGAGGCCTCTTGGAAGTTCGTTCGGAATTCGTGGGAGGCCTCCCATGGGGCTCTTGAAGGCAGTTTGGGAGGCCTATTGGGGGCCGTTTGGGGTTCTCTTGGAGCCTCTTTTTGGGCCTCTTTGAAACTCGTGGGGCCGGGGCCTCTTGGGCTCACTTGGGGGCCTCTTGGGGCCTCCTGGGGGCCTCTTGGGGCGAAGGCTCGAATTGTCGGTTCGTGTTCCCCCCTTGTGCCCCTCTCGGGGCAGTCTTGGGGCCCTGTTGTGCGATCTTGGGCACCTCTTGGGCCGTCTTGGGGCACTCTTGGGCCGTCTTGGGACTCTCTTACGCCGTCCTGGCGCCCTCTTTGGGTGCCTCTTGGGCCGTCTTGAGCTGATTTCTGTGGCCTCGTGTGCTGTCTTGGACCGTCGGAAGCACGAAAAAGCGAGACCATGAAAAACCATCAAAAATCGTTGCAACAAAAACCACGCTTCGCCCCCTGAGTGCCTTGTGGGAGTCCTTTTGAAAGCAGCTTTGCCGTCTGGAGGCCCTCTTGGGCTGTCTTCAAACCATGTTGGACCAATATTGTAACGCTCTTGTGCGGTCTCGGGCTCTCTTGGAGCGCTCTTGGGCCATCTTGGCGCCCTCTTGGACGCCACTCGGGCCCTCTCGTCGCCCCTCTTCTCCTCCTTTAACGCATCCTGGCGCCCCCCGACGGGTCCAAAACGGCCGGATACCGAAACAGCGAACTCCTCCCCATTTTAATATGAGTATATATACGGGTGTGTGTGTGTGTGTGTGTGTGTCTGTGTCTGTGTGTCTGTGTGTCTGTGTGTGTCTGTGTGTCTGTGTGTCTGTGTGTCCGTGTGTCTGTGTGTCTGTGTGTCTGTGTGTCTGTGTGTCTGTGTGTCTGTGTGTCTGTGTGTGTCTGTGTGTTTGTGTGTCTGTGTGTCTGTGTGCCTGTGTGTCTGTGTGTCTGTGTGTCTGTGTGTCTGTGCGTCTGTGTGTCAGTGTGTCTGTGTGTCTGTGTGTCTGTGTGTCTGTGTGTCTGTGTGTCTGTGTGCCTGTGTGTGTGTCTGTGTGTCTGTGTGTATGTGTGTCTGTGTGTATGTCTGTGTGTCTGTGTGTCGGTGTGTCCGTGTGTCTGTGTGTCTGTGTGTCTGTGTCTGTGTGTCTGTTAGCGCGGGGCCTAGAAAGGCTAAAAGAGCCCACAAAGGGGCCCAGACCCCACTGAGGGGCCAGAGCCCCAAGGGGCCATCCCAAGACAGGGGGCGGGCCACAAGGGATCCCGAGAGCCCAGACGAGCCGCAGAAGGCTGCCACCAGGGCACATCGGCCCCGAGGCACCGCTCGGCCTGTCAGCTCAGACCCCCGTCGAGGGGCATCAGCGCGAAGCGCTGGGATATATACAACCGCGCAGGCACGCGACGGGCGACGCCCCAAACATGTTTGCACAGCCCCAAGCGGCACGGCGAGGCAGGCGAGGCGCAGGAAGCTTCACGCCCACGCGCAGAGGCCCGCGGCCACCTGGTGTCCAAAACGCACAGGAGGACAGGAGACGGACGCAGAGGGAGGACAGGAGGAGAGGCAGACTGGCGCTCCACAGCCAGGAGCGACCAAGGCTCGGCACACGCGCGATCGCGCGGGCCGAGCGCCCCAAGGCTGGGGCCAGCGCGGGCTCAATCACCTCCATATCCGTCATCTCTGCGTCGCTTCCTGCTCTGGCGCTCGAGTCGGGCCTCCTCGGCCTCCTCTGCCCAGCTCAGCAGGCTCTCCTCGTCGAGTCCGCAAGCATCCAGCCAGGCCTTCCTCGAACCCGCGCCCGCTGCGGTGCCTCCAGCCGCAGCGGGCACCTCCGCCGAAGAGGAGGCCGCACCGCCAGCGCCGCTCCCAGCAGCGTCGGCCCCCAAGGCGCTGCTCGCGACGCCTGCTGGTGCATCAGGCTGAACACCGAGCCACTTCAGGACGCGCACCCTGGCGTCCTGCGGCACCTCCGCCTCCTTGCGAAGACGGGGGGCCTCCGCCCCCTTCCTCCGCGTGTCGCGGGCGTGCGGCGTGCCTCCAGGGTGGAGGCCGCGCTCCCACCGCGACTTCTGGTCACGCAGCGACCTGGGGAGGCCTGTTGCCCCAGGACAGCGCTCCCTGAGCTTGGGCTGCGGGCCTGGGCGTCCGCCTAGCCTCGCATACGCCCCGCACCTGGTGCACGCAATGATCTCCTGCACGTCGCCGTCCTCCCCGCACCTGGCGTACGCGAGGGCGTGGGCAGCGACGGCGAAGACCAGGGCGCCCAACGCCACACCGCCGTCGCGTGCCGCCGAAACCCAGGCACCAGCAGCGGCGGGGCGGCTGCCTGCCTGCTCCCCGCGGGCCGCCACGGCGGCGGGCGAGGCGTCCGAATCGCTCGCGGGAGCCGCCCGCAGTCCGTCAGCACGCTCCTCCAGCGGGACCGCGAAGGTGACAGCCATCCTTCGCTCGTCGCACACGGAGAGGCCCTCGCAGCCCTTGGGGGCCCTGCCCTGCCAGACGATTGAGACCTGCGCGATCCACCTGGAGAGCTCTCTCACGACCTCCATCGCGCCGAAGAACCCGCGCCTGGCTGTCGCGCTGACCCTGTGGAGGGCCGCTCCCGCCTTCGCCAGCCTGTCGGCGTGGGCGTTCCCAAGCCACTGACCCTCCGAGATCCTGCCCTCCCGAACATCGATCTCGGCGCAGTGGGCCTCAACCCTGTTCACGATGAGCGAGTCGACGTCTAGCGAGGCGTAGACGGCCGACCACAGGTGAGCATTGGGCTTGTAGGCCGCCGTCGCATACCTCCTGCCGAGCTTCAAGCAGCTGACTGTGGACGCACAGTCAATGCTGATCTCGGTGATCGAAGGCCCGAGGTAGCGGCTCAGCATCCTCACCGCGAAGTCCTCGCCGTCCTTCGCCGTCTGGAAAAGGCACAGGTCGGGGCGGACCACGCCGTGCACCGCCGCCTGCAGGTTGCCGAACTCGTCGCACTGCACGATACTCCAGCCTGCCCTGCGGACGCATACGAACTCAGGGCCGAGCGCAGAGCCGTCGAGGTAGAGGCGACCGTCTAGCGGCCCGTCGGCAGGCCATTTCACCCACATGACTGCCATCGCGTCCGACCTCCAGGCCGTATGCGGGGGCCGCGGCTGCCAGCACCTGGAGAAACGCGTGGCCAGGCCGGACGACGCGACGAACCAGTCGTAAACGTGCTCCCAGCCCTGGGCGCAGCAGGTCGCCTCGGAGGGTCCGAGCACTTGACCGCGAACTGCTGCAGGCCAGCCCAGCTCCTGCAGGGGCTCGGGCTCCACGTTGAAATCAGCCTGGAGGACCCAGGGCAAGACGAGCGAGAAAGCCACTAGGTCCGCAACCGAGGAGAAAAGGCCGAGGTTGATCCCCCGCGGGCCCAAGCAGCGCTGGAAGTGCCCCGCCAAGGCCAGGAGGCGGAGGCCCGATGGCGCCGTCGCCTCTGCTCCGATGAGGCGGTGGCGCAGGGCCGCGGGGATCTGGCATGCGGACTCCTCTGCCTGGAGACCAGCCCTCACCAGGATCGCGACGCCGCCCGACGTGGCGTTCGGGCCAGACAGGCCCGTGGCCACAGCCTCATGGAAGAAGGCGGTGTAGCCGAGGCGGCGTGCCAGCGCCCTGGCCCCAGGAAGGCGCTCCTGGGTTAGCCTCGTCTCCCGAAGGAGGACCAGCTGCGGCCAGTACTGGTGGGCGTGGAAGAAGGCCTCGAGGACCTCGACGCTCCTGTTCCAGACGTTACCGCTGCAGCCCAGGACCTCCAGGCCAGCACGCAGGGGGCCAGGCCCTCGAGGGCCCGACTCAGGGGCGGGCTGCTGCCCGAGGCAGACCTTGCCAATGCAGGCCTCCTGCGCCGTCATCCTCCCCCTCTGGTCACTAGACACCTTAGCTTGGCTATGCCCGCCGAGGGTCTCGGCCACCCGCTCGTCAGCGGCCTCGACAGGGAGCGCGGGGGGGTGAGGGGCATCGGCCACCCGCCCGTCGGCGGCCCTCACCGCTCCCCCTTGGCCAGGTGCAGCACTCGCAGGTGTGCCCAAGCCCAGGGAAAGGCCTTGGGCCCCTCACTCCACTGGCACCTGTTCACTCAAGCGCCGCCTGACCCTCCTGTTGTCAACCGAAAACGGGCCTGCCGAGACGACGTCAAATCCGACTGCGGCCCACGCCAGCACGGCCATCAGCAGCCGTCGCCAGCGGCTGGTCGCCAAGGAGGGCTGCGCCAGCGTTGGCCTGGTCCCTCGCCAGCGGCTGGGCTGAGGGCCACGCCCCGTGCGCCTCTCCTCGCCGTGCAGCTTGGCCGCGCTCGGCTGCGTCCTGCAGGGGGGGGGGGCCGACGAAGCTCGCACCCGCTCCTCTTCATCTCCGTCGAGGTCCTCGTCCGAGACGTCGAGGGGGGAGTCGGCCCAGGAAGAGCGCCCCCTGGCCTCGGGGGGTGCATGCCTGCGGACCGCCGCGATCTGCTTGGCGACCTCCGCGAAGGCGGCCTCCCCGTTGCCCGCGGCGAAACCCTGGGGCAAGGCTTCGACCTGCTGGATGAGGCCGAAGACCATCCCGAGCAGGTCCGTGCCGACGAAGGCCGCGCCGACCTCCTTGGCTTGCCTGGCCTCGGCGGCCCTCTGCTCCTCACGGTGAGCCTCGAGAGCAGCTCGGCACTCCTCGACAGCCTCAGCGCATGCTGCCTCACGCGCGATGGCTGCCTCACGCTCTCCGATGGCTGCCGCGTGGGCCTCCTCAGCCTTGAGCAGCGCCTGCTCCTTGGCCCGCCCCTGCCTGACCAGCTTCCCCAGGGCATTGCCAGCGCCGTGGAGCGCCTTGGGCAGGGGGGTGTCGGCCTTCCTGCGCTCCGCCATCGCCGCCTCTGCTGCCGAGAGCCTGCGACGCTCGCGGTCGAGGGCCGAGCGCAGCGACTGCAGGCACATCTCGTCGATGGACTCGCCAGGGGCCGCGAGGAAGTCCTCGATGCGCTTGACCTCCTGGCGGTGCCGCTCGACGGCCGACGGCTGCGCGCTGCTGGCCTCGCTGACGCCTGCCAGACTGGCGGCCCCCGCGCTGGCCGCGCGGGCAGCCGTGCGCTTGGCCTGGCGCCTCGCTTTCCTCCCACGGGGTTGGACGACGAAGCCCTCGGCGTCGGCGACGGGCTGCTCCTGGCCAGCGGCAGCCGCGGGCGGCTGGGCAGCCTTGACCCACGGCGGGGCCACTCGGCCGCAGCTGCGGCACTTCCAGTGCGAGCACCAGTTCCACTCCCTGCACTGGCCGCTGGAGCAGACCCAGTAGCTCCAGATGCCGTTGGCCTTGCCGCCCGCCGCGACGCCGGCTGTGTGTCTGTGTGCCTGGGTGTCTGTATGTCTGTGTGTCTGTGTGTCTGTGTGTGTCTGTGTGTCTGTGTGTCTGTGTGTCTGTGTGTCTGTGTGTCTATGTGTCTGTGTGTCTGTATGTCTGTGTGTCTGTGTGTCTGTGTGTCTGTGTGTGTGTCTGTGTGTCTGTGTGTCTGTGTGTCTGTGTGCCTGTGTGTCTGTGTGTCTGTGTGTCTGTGTGCCTGTGTGCCTGTGTGTCGGTGTGTCCGTGTGTCTGTGTGTCTGTGTGTCTGTGTGTCTGTGTGTCTGTGTGCCTGTGTGTCTGTGTGTCTGTGTCTGTGTGTCTGTGTTCCTGTGTGTATGTGTTTCTGTGTGCCTGTGTGTCCATGTGTCTGCGTGTCTGTATGTCTGTGTGTCTGTGTGTCTGTGTGTCTGTGTGTCTGTGTGTCTGTGTGTCTGTGTCTGTGTCCATGTGTCTGTGTCTGTGTGTCTGTATGTCTGTGTGTCTGTGTGTCTGTGTATCTGTGTGTCTGTGTGTCTGTGTGTTTGTGTGTATGTGTGTTCAGCGGTGGCGAAGAGTTTGCGCCACCCACTGTGAGGGAGGTTGACTTTCGCTACCAACCGAGTACGGCATACATTGCCCACACCGCCGTTCGATCCAACCTCCCTCCATATCCCTTCTCCTGGTAATACCCGACGATCTGGTCCTCAGCAGCTCTCCCCTTCCCCAGTACCATGTTACTCCCACATCCATTCCATGTTCATCATGCCTGCTCTTCCTGCCTGTCCTTCTTTCCCCCATGCACATACTTTCCCCTTCCTCCACGTCTTCCTCATGCTCCTCCATCATTATCCCTTCTTCTCCCCGGTCCCCCATTCGGTCGCACGGCGCGCTCTCTGCTGCCAGCGCAGAACGCAGGCTCAGCGCTCCCAGCGGGCACCACCAGGGATCCCGATGCGGAGGAAGAGGAGGCATTTTTCCGGGCTTTGCCGAAACGACAGGAGGAGAGGGGGGTGCATGAGGAGGAGGAGGAGGAGGAGGAGGAGGAGGAAGAGGAGGAGAAGGAGGGAGAGGAGGGGATGAGCGCAACATGCCATGCGGAGGCACTCCTTCTTGCCGGAGAGGCACTTCCACCAGCGCAGGAACCCCGAATCCCCCTCAAAGTGAATTTCATGGGCACCCGCACATAATTGCCGAACACACACACACACACACACACACACACCTTAGGTGGACCACCACCCTGGGGAAGAGGGCAGGAAATTGCCATGCCTGGGGCCAGATACTGCAGGTATGCCCATACTGGGAAGGAATCCTGATGGGACGAGTCCCCTGAGGCGAGGAGGGGGATCTGAGGAGGGAGTAAGGAGCAGGAGGAAGGAGGTAGTAAGAGAGAGGGGGAGGGGACTTGGGACGGGATTGTTATTGCAGCATCGTTGGCGCATCTTTGGCTTACTCTGGTCAGCATCTTCCTCCTCCTCCTCCTCCTCCTCTTTCCTCCTCCTCCTCCTCCTCCTCCTCCTCCTCCTCCTCCTCCTCCTCCTTCTCCTCCTCCCTCTCCTCCTCCTCCTCCTCCTCCTCCTCCTCCTCCTCCTCCTCTCCTCCTCCTCCTCCTCCATCCTCCTCCTCCTCCTCCACCTCCTCCTCCTCCTCCTCCTCCTCCTCCTCCTCCTCCTCCTCCTCCTCCTCCTCCTCCTCCTCCTCCTCCTCCCTGCGGTGCCACGTAGCCACCTTAGTGGTATGGTTTCGCACGTGGCTGCGGCTGGCTGCCCCTCCACCCCGGGGCCAAGCTGCCACGGGAGTGCTGGCCTTCCCCCGATGTCGCCTCATGCCTCCCTCCTTTCTTTCCCCCCCCCCCCAGTGGAGAGGCGGCGAAGGCGAAGGGAGAAGCGGGAGAGGAGGGACATTGCGCGAGGGAGGAGGAGGAGAGGAGGAGGAGGAGGAGGAGGAGGAGGAAGGAGGAGGAGGAGGAGGAGGCAGGGGGAGATGAGGAGGGAGAAGAAGCAAAGGAGGAGGGGAGGGAGGAGGAAGAAGGAGAAGGAGGAGGAGGAGGAGGAGGAGGAGGAGGAGGAGGGAGGAGGAGCGAGACGGAGGAGGGAGGAAGGAGAAGGGAGGAGGAGCGAGACAAAGAAGGGAGGAGGAGCGAGACGGAGGAGGGAGGAAAGAGGAGGGAGGAGGAGCGAGAAGGAGGAGGAGCGAGGAGGAGGAAGAGCAAGGAGGAGGAGGAGGAGGAGGAGGAGGTAGGAGGAGCTGACCAGCCTCTGCTGGGCGACCTACCGCTCGCCCTGCTGCAGCCCGTGCCGCGGCGCGTAGTGCCGGACAAAGCGCCCCAGCGCCCACAGCGGGTAGACGTTGCGGAAGGAGGTGTAGGATATGCCGATGGTCGGCTGGGCGCCGACGGAGGGGCACTGCAAAAGGGGGGGCGATCGGGGGCTGCAAGGGCCCAGGGAGAGACACCACACAGATAAGCGCACGAATCCCAGGATCTCCAAACATTGCTCCATACCTTCCTGGAGTTTCGTCTTGCCCTCCACGTCCCAGCATTCCCCATGTCTTCCCAGATGTTCCTGGGAATCGGCGTGCATATTTGTGTCCCCTACTGACCAGACCTCCGACGACATGATGTCGTCCATGCGGCGCTTCCGTCCTGGATGTCGGCCCTCGGGGGCCGCTTGTCAAGCCCCGGGTCCATGAGAAACGGATCCGGGGCGGAACGAAAAAAACCGGGGACGGGACCCCTGGGGCCGCGGATGCAGAGAATCCCATCGGCGGATGCCTGGGGAGGAGGGGGCACGCCAGGGGGTCACCGGCTCAGACTTGGACCCGAAATGGGTACGGAAACAATGGGTACAATGCCCAACAACAAATGTTGTCCCAAACCAACAGCGGCCGCTGTTGGGCAGGCGGCCTTCTGTCTCGAATGGACACAGGCCGCGGCGGCGTGGACAGCGAACCCTGCTGAAACTGAACCGGAATATTGTTGGTGGGCATTGCACCCACTCTTTCCGTATCCATTTCGGGCGTCCAGATCCCCCCAGACCCCCGACGTCATGATTTTTTCATGACGCGACTCCCAGAGGTCTGGACCCCTTCCCCGGGACCGGTTTTTCGTCCTGAGTCGTTGTTTGGCGGTCCCGAGGCCCGGTAAGGGCCCCCTGAGGCCGAAAATAGCGAAAAACCTCGCGCTGTTTTTTTCACAACGCGAGGGGGTCTGGGCCCGTCCGCGAAGGTGCGTGTGAAGCTTGGTCCCCGAGGGGGAGGAGGAGGAGGAGGAGGAGGGAGAGATGAGGGAGGAGGAGAGGAGGGAGGAGGAGGAGTGGTGGAGTAGGAGGAGGGGAGGAGGAGGAGGCGAAAAATAGCGAAAACCTCGGCCGTCGTGATTTTGTTCCCCAGCGCGGAGGTGTCTGGGTCCAGAGGAGGGGCAGGGCCAGGGGACAAACCCTCGAGCGGAATCGCGGGATGCGCCGCCGACAGGGTGGCGAGTCGGCCTCCTCCTCCTCCTCCTCCTCCTCCTTCCCATCCTCTCTCCTTCCTCCTCCTCCTCCTCCTCCTCCTCACCCCTCTCCTCCTCCCCCTCCCTCCTCCTCCCCTCCCCCTCCTCCCCCTCCTCCTCCTCCTCCCCTCCTCCTACTCCTCATCCTCCTCTCCTCCCGCCTACCTCCCCCTCCTCCTCCTCCGCCCTCCTCCCCCTCCTCCCCCTCCTCCTCCTCCTCCTCCTCCTCCTCCTCCTCCCTCCTCTCCTCCTCCTCCTCTCTCCTCCTCCTCCTCCTCCTCCTCCTCCTCCTCCTCCTCCTCCTCCTCCGATGGCGCGTCCGCGCGTGCCTCGGCGGGCGGGGCCAATCGGGCCCCCGATCGGCGGTGCCCCGGCGAGGAGGGGGGGGGCGGGCCGTTGCGCCCAGCCCGGGGCCCCTCCCTCCCCGCGCGGGCCCCGCAGGGCTTCTTTCGGGCGTGGCGCCCTACAGGGGGACTATCGACGAAGAATCAAAACATACCCCAAAAATGCCCCCAAAAAAGGTCCAGAAATAGTCAAAAAATGGTCCCCAGACTATGTTTGGATGATTCTCTTTGACCATTTTGGGGGTATCTGTTTATTTTTCGTCGAAAATCCCCTGTAGTGGGACAGGCCCGACTCAACGCAAGGTGGCCCTCCAGAGGGGCCCCCCCAGGACGGCCACCGCGGCCCCACGGGGCTCTGGAGACACCGGGGGCCCTCCCTTCGCCCCCCCATGCTGGCCTTCCCCCCCGCCGCCGCCCGCCCGAGATGGATCGGTTGAACACTCCCGCGATGTTCTCCTGCGCCCAGTCGCCGGTGGGCAGCTGCCGGCGCATCAGGAAGTCCACGCCCCGCCGCACCGCGTCGGTGTCGTCGCACTCGCCGGCCATGAGGGCCAGCAGGGCCCAGGCGGTGCAGACGACGCTGCTGCCCGAGTCGCAGCCGTAGAGCCTGTCGCACGTGGTGTACTCCCGGTTGAAGCAGCTCAGGAAGTCCTCTCCCCAGCCACCGTCTGGCTCCTGCCTCTGCAGCAGGAAGCGCACGCAGCGGCGGATGGGCTCGCAGCGCGGCGGCTCGCCCGCGGCCAGGAGACCCTCCACGCCGAACCAGCAGCCGTAGGTGAAGCAGTTGCCCCAGCAGCCGTACCAGCTTCCGTCGTCCCGCTGGATGGCCTTGATGAAGTCGCGCCCACGGCGGATCGCCCTCTGGATCTCCTGCCTCCGGTGGTCGGGGAACTGCTTCGAGAACTCGGCCAGCGCGCTCATGGAGGAGGCGCTGCACTCCACGTAGGAGTAGTCGATCATGATCTCTCCGAAGACCTCGGAGGGGTTCAGAGCCTCGTACCACTTCCAGCCGCGGCAGTTCTCGTAGGTGGCCCACCCCCCGTCGGCGTTCTGGTAGGACAGGAGGAACTGGACGGTGTCGAAGTAGTGCTGGTCTGGCATGTCGTTGGAGCCTTTGGTGCAGCCGTCCTTGCGGAGGGCGAGCACGGCCTTGAACGCTTCCGCGGTCGTGTCGGACACTGGCCAGGCCTGCTCCGCGGTGCTGAAGCCCCAGCCGCCCCGAATCGGCTGCCGCCAGTGCCGCCAGTCTCCGCGTGGCAGCGCGCGAACTTGCTCCCTGCAGATGAACTCGAACGCCCTCTTGCTCATGTCCGCGAACTCCCCTTGCAGGCCTGCCTCCGCGACCGCCTGCACGGCGAACGACGTGTCCCACATCATGCTGCCGTTGTAGCCCTGCGCCTTCATGCCGTCCTCGGCCACCCAGAGGTACGCCGGTATGCGCTCCACGTGCGCGCGGAACGCCCGGCTCTCGCGCGCCGAGGCCGCGTCGGCCTCGCCGCCCGCCATGACCCAGGCGCAGACGACGTGCAGCGCCTTGCTGACTGGGCCGATGGTGAGGTAGTTGGTCTCGAGGTCCTCCGATGCGATGTACTCCTCGGCGAACCGGAGGCTCGCTCGCCGCGGCCAGGCCCAGGCACCGATGGCCTCATACGCGGCGAGGGCGTTCTGGAGCAGCCGCATGGCCCAGTGGATGGGGCTGTAGTTGTCCACGTCGGCGATGGTGTGCAGGAAGTTGCCCCACCTTATGTCGCTGTACCGCTCATCAACTGCGTAGAGCTCTTCCCTCAACGACAGCGTGACGGGGTCCTCGGACGCGGCCGGGTACACAAAGCGCCGGCCGTACAAGAAGCACATGGGCAAGTACACCATGCGGCAGTGGCACCAGAAGCGGCCAGGATGCAGCGGGAACCACGCCGGCAGCAGCCACATCTCCGGAGGCACCGGCGCGATGCCCCGGTAGTCGTAGACGCCGAGGACGCAGAGCCAGAACTTTGCCCAGGAGGGCGCGAAGAGCGCCCCGCCGTGCTGGCGCAGGAACCTGCGGCCCTCCACGCAGGCGGGGTCGCTGGGCGGGACGCCCACCAGGCGCAGCGCCACGTAGTTCAGCACGCTCCCGAAGAGCGTGCTCGGCGACTCCAGGTGCGAGCCCCAGCCGCCGTCGGCCTGCTGGTGGTTGCGCAGGTACACCTCGATGGCGCGCTGCGCCGGCCTCGGCAGCACGCCGTCCATCCCTGTGATGTACGCGCTGATCACGAAGCCCGGCAGCAGGAAGTGCGGGCCCCCGTAGTCCCCGGCCCACTGCCCGTCGTCGCACTGCAGCATCTGGTAGAACGAGAACCCCTTCCGGGCCGCCTCCAGTGGGTCCTGGCACCTGCGCGTGCCGTCGGGGCGCCGACCCTTCCACCGCTGCAGGCGCGCCTCCCGGAAGACCGCGTCGCCGGCGTTCGGGTTGGACGCCGGATCGAACGCCAACACCTCGCCTTTCGAGGCGCCCGCCTCGTCGAAGACCCACACCTGCTGTCCGGCCACCCGGTGCGGCAGCGCGTCGCCCGGTGGCTGCTGCTCCGCCTGGGGGCGCCAGCCCGGCTCCACCGTCCTCTTCGCCCCGCCGCGGAACTGCGCGCGCCGCCCGAGCTGCTTCTCCTTTGGCACCGCGTCGCCGGGGTACGAGTAAGGCCGCCCTCGGAGGGTGAAGGAGCGGAACAGACGTGCACGGTCGGAGCTCCGATCGCAAGTCTCGAGTCTGGGCGCGGCGCCGATCCGAGAGATCCGCGCGGACCCGAGAGAGCCCAGAATCGAATTGATGAGTCGGATCGGCGATCGGCACGAAGCGGATCGGCAGAAGTCGGCAGCCGAGTCGGCAAAAGTCGAGTCGGAGGAAATCGGCAGGCTTGTGCGCGTCCAATGAAACATCGGAAACCAAATCGGAGCCCCAAGCCGAATCGAATCGGAACCAGAATCCATCGAAGTCGAGTCGAACTGGAGGAACCGGAACGAGTCCTGCGGAGCTCCCGAAGTTTCTGTTTCTGCACGTCCTTCGTCCCAGACCCCCGACGTTGTGATTTTTTCAAAACGTCGACCCCCAAAGGTCTGGACCCCTTCCCTGGACCAGTTTTTCGTCCCGAGTCGCTTTTCGGCGCTCCCGAGGCCCGGCGAGGGCCCCCAGGGGCCGAAAGTAGCGAAAAAACTCGCGCTGTGTTTCTTTCACAACGCGAGGGGGTCTGGGCCCGTCCGCGAAGGTGCGTGTGAAGCTTGGTCCCCGAGGGGGAGGAGGAGGAGGAGGAGGAAGTCGAGGACGAGGAGGAGGAGGAGGAGGAGGAGGAGGAGGAGGAGGAGGAGCTCGCGTCATATCTGACATCCTACCCCTCCCTCCCATCCCTTACCATGGCGTAGATCCACTATCTACTCGCACAGTCGGATGTCGAGCAGGGCAATGATCCCGAAAGGGTACGCGAAGCATTGTAGAGCACGGCATGGCATGGCGTAGAAGAGCACCGCAAAGCGTAGCATCAACCTAGCATTGCATTGCATGCCGTGGCATGGCACAGGAAATGACACCAGCGCTGCAGCGGGAGCACGAGTCGAAACGAGCGGAAGCGCGGAAATGAGGCCAGCGCTGCAGCGGGAGCACGATTCGGAACGAGCGGAAGCACGGAAATGAGGTCAGCGCTGCAGCGGGAGCACGATTCGGAACGAGCGGGGCCCGAAAATGAGGCCGGCGCCTCAGCGAGAGCAGCATTTTGAAACCCAACTCTGGGGAAACCTGTGTGTAAAAAACAGTACGCGGGAGGGGGGCGAGCAGTTTCAAACCGTCATCAGGGGAAGAGGGAGAATAGTATTCATATTGAGTAATTGTGGTGGAGGAGGAGGAGGAGGAGGAGGAGAAGGAGGA